TTCAGCCTGAAGGATAAAAGAAGAAGAGAAACAATATAGAAAGTCATATTCTAATACTTTTTGCTTATGATGCTTGTTGTAAAGAAATTTGAACAAGTTGGTTGACAAAAAGACAGTGAAGATCTATTAACTTGGCTGGTCAGAGGTAGCCTCCTGACAATCCAAGATCTGAGAAAAATCATGAGGAAAAGGAGCCAGCCATGTAAAGATATGGGGGTAGCATTTCAGGTTTGAGGGATGGCTCAGGCAACATGTAATGTGAGAATCTGGAATATGCACAATGAAGGGGAAAAGGAGATGAGGTTAGAATAAAAGGCAAAGCCAGATACAGTCCATGCACCTTAGGAAACCCTGGTAGGGTTTAGCAATGCCTGACATTCCATGGTTTATGTTGTGAGAATCCTTTCCCACTGCCCTGCAGAGGAAGGATTTCATGGCAAGACATGGACCACAAAGAAATAAATTAATAGACATTAGGTCAGATAAGAAGCAGCTTGGCTTAGAGTGAAAAATTTACACTGAAAGTAGATGGAATATATTTTAGGAACAAACACACTGTCCTGGTTACATCTACACAGATGGTGAATGAGGAAAGTCAAACACTGAGATATATGACACATTAGTTGTAAGCTTTAATCAGATGGGTGCTAGTGCATTTACTTGATGGAGACAATGGTCAGAACAGCTTTGCTGGGTGGTGACCAAGAATGTTGTTTCAGATATGTTAAGCTTGAGAGTCTACTAAGCATTCAAGTTTCACACAGAGATGTTAAATATAGAGTTTATGTGTCTGTATATTTTCAGCTCAATTGTCATTAGGACTGCTTTACAGATTAAGTTGCCAATGTCATCTATCAATGGCATTTAAAAGCAATGGGAGCAGAGGAGATCACTTTAGCAGATAATGCGAATAAAAAAGAATAGAGGGCCAAGAAATAATCCAGTGGAAATTCAGTATTAAGAACTAAGGACTAAGAAAGGAAGACTGAGGAAAAATAGTCATTTGTGTGAACTGGGTAACAATATCCAAGGGAAGAGTCTTTCAGGAAGGAGGGAGTCAGTCATTAATTCGGCCAAGGTAGCTTATAAATAAAATAAGATACAGTATATAGTAAGGAGGGAATAAAGACTAATGGTGTTGGAAACAGCAAACTCAGTGGTGTCATTGACAGAGAAGTCTGATTAGATGGGCCTGGAGAGAAAATGGTGTTAATAGAGGCAAGAAAAAAAGAATGATACTTGAGATCACTTTGGAAAAATTCTTTCAAAGTTTTTCCTACAAGTAATTGGGCAGCAACTAAAAGTACCCACGTGATATTTATTTATTTTTGCTTATGTGTATCTGTACACACATTAATGCCCACACATGCAAAGACACAATACTTACACACATGCATGCATGCATGCACACATTTTTAAAAAGAAGGAAGCTACTGAAGTGCATATGATTGTTTATTAGAAAAAGAACACACATACTATCAAAAGTGTTTCATGCACCTAGATAAAATTTGCAGCATGTTCTCTAATAGTTTTCTTTTTTGTCAGTGTTTGGTAATGTACTGTAAATGGAGGATTTGATGAGCTCTGAAGACATTTCCACAGAACCAAAATCCTCTGTGTGATTCTACACACTGTTGTACAAACTATATTTGCCCTAATACACAGTAAATAAAAACAGTATTTCTTGTTTGATGTTAATGAACACGAAACATTCTCTGAGGCACTGTGCCTGTCAGGGAGGCTTGGAGAGATGTTAGAGCAGTTCTGTCTAGTGTGGAGCAGTCTCGGTGCAAGGCCTGAGTCCTCATGCTGTGCATTGACTCTGCTGAGTAGGTTGCATTATTTCCATTTAAAAATGAAGAACTTCACTCAACAAGGTTAAGTGACTTATCCAACTGGCAGAAATAGCACTCTTTTTCAAGTGAGTGAGTACTGAACTTCGGAGTGTTTCTTAATAGGACAGCCATTAATAGGGAGCCATTGTCTGAAAAGAAATCTCAAGGTAGTGTCCAATTTTCTTGTATCTCCAATTGCCACTTTTTACCTCCTCCCCACCAGAAATGGTAGTTAAATCACAAAAGTCTGATAGATTTTCGTATCTCAGTTAATTTGAGGCCAATATGCCCATCCACCTTTGCCTGTAATTGAAGTCACCTGTGTTCTATTGACACAAACACAGGAAGTCCTCAAGGCTTAGTGTTGACAGTCAGCAAGAAAACTGTAGCTAAGTTAAAGGTATGTGATTAAGCATTCTCATATACAAATGAGGAGTAAGAATATACAACTGAAAACCTTTCACTAAACAACACAAAGAAATGCATTTTAGCATAATATCATTTTCCAAATAAGTAACATTTAGTTGTACTGATCACAATGAAAAAAATTGGCCTAGAATTGTACTGAAGATACTGCAACCATGAATTAAAAGTGATTCAGATATAGATACTGGATTTATTACTCTTATTTCTATTAAAAAAGAAGTGAAGCACCGAAATGATTAGAAATATATGAATCAAAAAGTAATCTAATAAATTACATATCCAGTCTTTTAATTTGGTTGTAGAAATAGTGAGCAAAGGATATTCCATACATGACAATATTATCTATATTTTTGTAGAAATATACAAGGCAATGAAGGTTTTACTTACATTGTTCCTTTTTTGCACATAACAGTTCAATGAGGCTAACAGACATTAGTCTGTTAACAGACATTAATCATTACAGACATGATTACGTAATATATGGTAAAAAGATGACTTTAAAGAGTTAGAAGTTTTATGTCTCAGGTTTTCATATAAAATAGTCACTAGTATAAATAATATTTTATGGGGATCTTGCTTTGCACTACAAAAGTCCCTTCCCCACTGGACTAGAAATTATTTCCAAATTGTGCCATAAACTAGTATTTCCAAGATTCCTACACTGTGAAGGGTGGACTGGGTGAGGATTGTATTCTAGCTTTATAAACTGAGAGAGATTAGGAGAGATGGGTTAGGAATCACGTGTTAATGCATTTTTCTTGTAAGCATAATGTTTCATATGTTGCTTTGATGGTTCACATATTTTACAAGAAAAAAACTATTTAAAATGAATTTTTACAAATGTACTACAAGGAAAAAGTTCATTGTAATAGTTCTTCAATTTATTTCAGTTTATCTGTCCCTAGTTTTGTTATACTTCATTGATACTCATTTGTAGCATCAGATGTTAAACTATAATGGGTTTCATCATTTCAATTTCTGTAGTGAGTTACACAACTTGAGTAAAAATAGAATGGGTTCTCCTTCTTCAAGAAAAGACATCAAGATAATATAATCTGTTATTTCTGACAGGTCAAATTAATCAACTGTTTCTTTTTTCTGTTCCTGGCAGGAGAGAGGGAGGGGAGGAAAGGAGTAAGAGGGAGAGAGACTCTGCTTTAGCATCTATCAGTGCTCAGAAAGGAAAGAAAATCTGTTCTTCTGGATGTGAATAATCAAATGTATATGTTTTTAATTAGCGACATCTTTGTGCTCTATGCCTCATTTAAATGCTTTTATTTTCTTTAGTGTATTTTCTCTGATTATTCATGTTCCTACATGTCCAGAGAAAATAATTTAAACAACCAATTAAATAAGCTGAAATAAACATAGACTTAACTACAGCAGAGAAAATATCTTTATTGACAGGGAGTGATGGTACCAAAAGGGTGTAGCCTGCGAGGAGAGTTTTCTTCCTCTAATAAAAATTCGGTACCTACTAAAATTTATTTGTACAGGTGACACGTGTCTGTTCCCTCAGATACAGGAAGCATATAGTAACACTTGCATTTGAGAAAAGAAAAACTTGCTATGCCACAATTCTGGGCAATCTGTTTTTACAAGAACAAGAAAACAAAACGGCTTCTGCAAAGTTAGCCCCCGGTAGCAAATATTATGTTCATGTTCATGTATCTCAGTAAGGTCAGGCAGCTTGACCAGAAGCGATTTTCTGAGATTCATTCAGGTTTTTGTGTCGCTGTTCAATAGGGTTGGTAGAGAAAGTTGACAAGGACTTTTCTTGCACTTGGTGCATTTCTTGCAGCTGCAGCTCCACTTAGCGCCTGAGGCCTGCGATGAGTCCAACACTGACCTTGGCAGAGTCCTGGCAAGGCCAAGTTTGTCGGGGGGCGGGGTGGGGAGGAGTGAAGGGATCTCTGCTGCAGGGCATGGCTCAAATTCCCACGAAAACAGGGACTTTTCCTGTGAGTAAAGGAGCTGCCTGGTGGATTTTCCTGCTTGTATTTTCCTGGCTATATCTCGTTTTTCCTCTGGAACCACCTGGCGCCATGCTGCGCTCTAACCCTGGGTGGAACGTGGGAGGAAGGCACATCTCCAACCCGGCCCCAATGTCTCAGTCTGGGAGGAAGAACCTGAGCAACTGTCTGCGAGGGGAGGATGACTGACACTGTCACCACCACGCATTCCGACCCCGCTCACCCGTGCCCCTCGCGGGTCTTCCCGAATGTCCCCTCAAGTCTATTGACCATCACCGATGCAGAAATCCGCGGTGCCCACGCTGGACTCCTGAAGAGGTGGCTGCGTCAATCACGTCCCCTCATTCCTCCTACTTCTGTCTTTTCCTTGTAGTTTCCAGGGTCTGTGTGGACGTGATTTAAAGCAGTTTTAAACAGTGTCCATATCGTAAATTTCACTTCCCGTCTGACTCCACCAGTACCTGCACCCATTGCCAAGTGTGGGTGGCGGAGCCCTGGGCGACCGCCCGCAGGACCCCCCACCCAAGCCCGCCTACAGGCTCCACGCGAACCCGTTGCCCAGGGCAGGGGAGCAGGGGAAGTGGGGCCGCGTGCGGCGGGAGCGCTGGGTCTGCGAGGCCCGGAGCCCCCGACTCCCACGGGGGACAAAGGGGAGGCTCGGGGACAGGGAAACGCGCTGGAAGCCCAGGCCAGCTGCTGGGTGGGGTGTGGTTCTGGGCTTTGAAGGGCAGTGCTGGCCTAGCCCTCCCGCGACTTGACGTGTTCCTTTTATCCCCTCCGTGGTGCGACAAGTCGCTTCCTGCCCTACAGGAGCCCAGCCCCGGACGAAGCCGCCCGCGAGGCTATCACTTGGTCGCTTGGGAGCTGAGGACGGTCTGGCGGCTCCACCGAGACCCTGAACCAATCCAGCAGTGCTTTGAAAGGTAGCAAACCCTGAAAGCCTGTACTTTTTCATTCTTCCATCAGGTCCTTTTATTTTCTAACAGTGATCTGCCATTTCTGTGTGGATGATCTAAGAATCTTTACTGTTTCTAAATCTAGGAATTTCAAAAAAGGCTTCTCAAAATGTAAACAGAATTTCAGAGTCTTCCAAAATAACCTTTTTCATCTTATGTAATTAAAGATCCAAGAGAGAAGCCCAGTGTTTTCCACAGTACACAGTCTCTCCCTCCCCCCCCCCCTCCCTCTCTGTCTCTCCCCTCTCTGTCTCCTGTGCCTGTCTTTTTGCATGCGTTTTCCTGTATTCTTTTTCATTTCTACCATTAGGAAACTCATTCAGGGCCACTGAAAACTCAAGAGAGGATCAAGTCCCATGTCTGATGAATTCCTGCCTTTCTGAAAGAGCTGCCACCAAGTAAGCATGGTGCTATTACGTTGAAAAACAATTACCCCCTATCAAAAACTAAAGCACCAGAGAAGCAAAGGTGAGGCTGAAAGAGAAGGAAGCTGTTTGCTCAGATTCAGTGGTGGAGGAAAGTGCAGCCTGGGGTGGGGCTGAGGGCTCTGATCCCTTACACTACAGGAGGGGATGGAAAGCGTCTCTGGACTGGACTGCAGACACCAGGACAGAACTGCACTGGTGCCTCTGCTGTCCTCACCACCACTGTCATCACCACTGGCAGCTGGGTACCCTGCTCCTCACAGCTGAAAGGCAGTACCTTCTGATATCCTCCTGCCTTGATGGACAAAAAGTAATTCCCCATCCTCCCTTTACACACAAGGCCTGGGCTCTGCTGAGTACTGCTCCACAAGTGAACTCAGCAGCAACTTCAAGAATAAATTTTCTACAGGAGTCTGGGAGAGATGCAGGCAGAAGAGTGAAGTGGAAGTTCTCAGAAACACTGAGAAATCATGGGCTCTGCAGTAGGGGCTGAAACATTCCAAAGCCCACGGATCTTGAAATGAGCACATGTTACTAAGTGGATTGCATCTATGGTAGAAATAGCTTTGCCAGAGGCTAGGAATCTACTCAAACCCCTATGTTGGAGAAACTGAAAAGACTTCTGTTTCCTCTACTAACAGGTAAGTGATGCTACTGTTAGTTCTGTTTTATACAAATCTGAAACTTTAATGACTTTTCCCAATGTTTAGCAGAAAGAAAATAAACAGCATTATTTGCCTTGTAGATTAAAGAGAAGATAATTAATTTGGTTTTATTCTTAAATGGTTATTCCTAGATCTCTGCCTCCCTAGGAGCTTGGGATCACAGCTGTGGATCACTATCCCCAGCTGTTGGTTGAGATGGTGTCTCATAAACTTTTTGCCTCAGCTGGCCTCAAACTGCAATCCTCTCAGCCTCTCAAGTAGCTTGGATTATAAGCTTGAGCCACTGGTACCTAGCTTGCCTGAAACTTTTGATCCTTCTATCACAGCTCCTGAGTGCTGGGATTGCAGGCATATGCTTCCACACATGCAGTCTTTCAAAAGATTTATTGCTTTAAAATGCATTGTCTAATATGACAATATAATATTCCTTTAAAATAATCTCATGATTTCTCAATATAATTTGTAGGATTTACATACATACATCTTATAACATTTCTAATGTAGCACAACATTATTCATTATTTTGTACTTAAATTAAACAATTTGATAGCATTCATAATATACTTTGAATTCTACATCTGAATGTAGGGAGAGAGAGAGTTGTCCACCATGCAAATGAATATATCTTAGTAATAGAAAATGTGGTGTTCCTTTTTATTCCTTATTATGGAAGATTTTTCACTGATGAAGAGTTTGATCAATTTTTTAATTTAAGAATTCATGAGTAAGGACTGAGTGATTTCAAACCATGCTACTTAGGATGTTACATATAAATGATATGTGTGTTTGTTTGTCTGCTATTTACTTTTTTGATTCTTTATTTCATTTGATTCCTACAGAGTCCAGTGTTTCTTCACTTAGTTCATTAAGTAGCTCTGACTCTGTGAGCTTCATGGATGACAAAAAAATCTCTGCAAGGTACTCACTGTATTCTCATCAGTGTTGTCCTCATGATTTCCCTTTGTTTTTAATCTCTCAATTTTGTTTGATGGACTTTAATATGAGTTTTTTATAGGATTACCTGAAGTGACAAACCCACCTGGTGATTTAAGTACTTTTACCACTCTAAGCCTGTGCTTTCAAGTGTGAGAAGCAGACATGTGTCTGCTAGTCCGTGAGTTTCAGTTTAAAATTCTTCTGAAATGAAACAGTGATGCGTGGAATAACTGTATTGTACCATTCCGGGTAACATACCTTCCTTCCTGAGGGCAATGAGACTTTGATATGAGGCACACCTGAGGGATCAGGAGGATCAGCTGTTCCCCATTGTAGCTATCCATGGTAACATCATGAATATGTCTACTAATTCAGTCACTGAAGAGGGCTTCAAAAATTTTTATCATTGCTTGGAGAGGGAGGTGCGGAATCAGAGGCAGTTTCCAGACTTGTTTTTCCAGAACCTTCAGGAAAACAGTGACCATAATCCAGTTGCTGTCCTGGAGAGCCTTGTTCAGTCCTCTGCTGGTTGTGATGAGCCACTGTGTTGTGCCAATCACTCTGTAGACTGAGTTGGTTTTCGAGCAGTCATTTGTATGTATTTAACATGCTGATAGCACACTTATTATTCTAATTTTTTAAAAGTACTTTCTTTGTTTTTTAGTGTTAGGACCTGGAGTCCTATTCCCCCAGAGACAGAAGGCCAGGCGTGAATGCAATCAACAAAGCAGAGTTTATTGGACTGGCTAGCCAGGGTCAAGCTTCCACTCGGACACGCAGGACCGGTTAGGAAAGCAAGACCCCGAGCCTCTGAGGGGGAAACCTTATATAGACCACAGTGACTGGCATAATTGGTCATTTGGCAAGCAAGCAGGGCACATCTTGCACGTACTTCTTGGGCTTGCTCAACTTTTAGCAAGCAGGGGAGTACATTTAGCACATTCTGCGGTGTACTTGCTTAATGATTTTGCTCAATATTTTGCAACCAAGAGGGTACATTTTGCACGTACAACATAGGGTGACTTTCAGGTCATTGACACTTCCTTATTTTTCTCCTTCCTTCTCATTCCCCCCTTCTCTTATGGCCTAAAGTGAGGAATCATTCTCATGGGGATGAAGAGCTTGAGCAAGATCAGAGCGATCAGCCACCCCATCCGTGGCTGCTCCTGAAGGCTCTGCATGTTCCTGGGGTCTCAAAAGCCTTAGCTTTAATGGGTTGTCTGGGTGTCGCTGTACAGTCCACTCCTTGACCCCTTCTTGTTTTAGATGATTGGCTCGACGCACATGGGAGTGGTGGATCCAAGGTCCGATGCCATTAACCTTGAGGGCGGTAGGGGTAGTAAACAGTACAACATAAGGTCCTTTTCATCTAGGCTCTAGGGTTTTGAACTGATGCCTTTTAACCCATACCATGTCACCCGGGACTATGCCATGTTCCGGAGCCGGGTCCCTCTTAACAGTGTGGTATGCTTGAATTAAGGGCCCAATCCGTTGTTGCACTTTAGCTAAAGCCTGCAACATGGTCAGGTAATTTGGGGCCAGATTTCCTAGTTCTGGGCTTAAGGTCCTCTGAATAATGGGGGGTGGAGCCCCATACAGGATTTTAAAGGGAGTTAGCCCATGAACATAGGGGGAGTTTCGGACTCGGAAGATGGCCAAGGGAAGGAGCGTCACCCAATCACCGCCAGTCTCCAGGGCCAATTTGGCTAAGGTCTCCTTTAGAGTCCTATTTATTCTTTTTACTTGCCCTGAGCTCTGGGGGTTATACTCACAATGTAGCTTCCAATTGGCCCCCATAGCCTGGGCTAGTCCTTGCAGGACCTTACTCACAAAAGCCGGACCGTTATCTGACCCAATTGTCTCGGGCACCCCATATCTGGGTATGATCTCCTCTAATAAAGCCTTTGCCACTACCTGACTTGTCTCCTTCTTTGTAGGAAAAGCCTCCACCCAGCCTGAAAAAGTATCTATGAATACCAGCAAATATTTGTACCCAAACTTTTTCGGTTTTACCTCAGTAAAATCTACTTCCCAACTTTTTCCTGGAGCCCTCCCCCGTTCCCGAGTACCTGTATGGTGCCCCTCCCTTCTCTTTCCGGTTGACATTTTCTCTGTAAACACCCAGGGCCCAGCTGGCACGGTCACCAACTTCTACTTCCCAGTAATGGCGGCCCGAGGTGAAGCGTTCCTTGCCTAGTACGCGGGGGCCAGGGTCAAAGCGCTCAGGACTGTCTGGTAGGGCCTGCCGCTGCTCACCCCGCTGCATACTCCTTCTGTCCTCAGACAGGACCAGCTCAGGGTTGGCAGTGTCTGGGTCCAAGGTCATATCCCCTCGAAACCTCTGCAGGGTCTCCATCAGCCCTGGGACCCTGCACACGGTCCTCAGCTCCATAGGTACCATCTCTGGAGGTTGCAGCTTCACGTCCTGAACCCTGTGTAGGGAGTCCTTAATGTCCTGCAGCAGCCCCAGCGCTGGCAGTTGGCAGCGGCCTTCAAGTTTAGCAATGAGTGTAGCTAGTTGGGCGCTCTGCTGGCCAAGTCTTGTGGCACTCTCATGCAGCCGGGGCAGCACCTCTAGCTCTTCCTCCTCTAGCTTCTGCAGCAGCTTTTGCTCTTTCTCGGCCAGCAGACGATGTAGTCGCTCGAACTCACCCAGCACATTTTGCCTCTGACTCTCTATCATTTTTTTTGCCACAAGGCACAGGTCTCCTCAGCCTGGGCTTGGAACAGCAGTGTATCCTCCATTTGTTTTCGCAGGTGCTCCAGTGACTTCTCCAGCCTCCCCTTGAGGTCGTCAGCCGCGTCCTGCAGCGGGCGTACACGGTGCGCCCAGTGTTCCCCTGAGCGCTCGCAGGAGGCACACAGCAGGCGCAGCTCGTCGCCGCAAAAGGAAGCCAGTGGCTCGCGGTGCGCTGCGCACAAGCCCTGAGGGACTGGCGATGGCGGGTGCAGGCGCCGAGCCATCTCAGCCATCTTGGCGAGCGGACGGTTGGGTCTCAGGTTTTTTTGCGGGGACAGCTCGCGACACTCAGGGCAAGCATAAGGGCCCTCGGGCTGGCCCCAGCAGCGCCGGATGCATTTGCGACAGAAGTTGTGTCCGCAGTCTGTCATCACCGGGTCCGTAAAATAGTCTAGGCAGATGGCGCAGGTGGCTTCTTCCTGGAGGTTGGTGGACAGGTCGGGGGCAGCCATGGCGCGGGCGGAGCGGAGGAAGGCGAGGCTCTCCACCCAGTCAGGCAGCCTGGACTGTGGAGGCTTCCGCCACTGCCGAGGGGACGCGGGACTCCAGATCCTCAGGGGGCTGCAAGCGCAGGGCTTCGGGTGCGGTGGTGCAGGATGGTGCAAATTCCAGGGGTATGGGACTCAAGTCCTCCTTGGGACTCCGGGTACATCAGAGTCGCAGAGCTCTTGGGCGCCCGCTAGGAAAATATGAGCCATTTCTCTCTGTTGCTTTCGGTTTTCCTTAGTATGGAACTCCCGGTCCTCCTTTCTCAATTTTTCCTGGGCCTCCCTGTCTTCCCTTCTTTGTCTCTCCTCCCTCTCTTCTGGAGTTTCCCTAGCGGTAAAGACCTTTTCTGCTATCTGTAGCATTTCCCTTATAGTCATCTCCCCTAAGTTTTTCTGTTTATTGAGTTTTCTCCTAATGTTTGGGGCGGCCTGATTAATGAATGAGAGTACCACAGCAGACCGGTGGAGGTCCGCCTCTGGGTCAATAGGGGTGTACTGACGGTATGCCTCATAGAGGCGCTCTAAGAAACCGGCCGGGCTTTCGTTTTCCCCTTGAATGACTGCTTTCACTTTTGTAAAATTTGTGGGCCTTTTAGCGGCCGCTCGGAGACCGGCCATAAGAGTCTGGCGGTAGATCCGAAGACGCTCCCTACCTTCTGCGGTCCCGAAATCCCAATCAGGGCGGCGTAGGGGAAAAGCCTCGTCTATGGCCGGTTGGAGAGTTGTGGGTCTCCCATTATCCCCCAAGACGTTTTTCCTTGCTTCGTTGAGGATGCGCTCTCGTTCCTCCGTCGTAAAAAGAGTATTGAGCAGCTGATGACAGTCATCCCAAGTGGGACGGTGTGTATGCATAATGGATTCCAGGAACCTATGAGACATTTGGGGTCTTCAAAAAAGGGCGGGTTCTGCGTCCTCCAGTTATATAGATCACTGGAGGAGAAGGGCCAGTACTGAAACTGTTGCCCTCCTCCCGGTCCCCCTTGACCCATCATCCGGACTGGAAGTGTGGGGACAGTTTTCTCCCCCTGTGTCGATGAGGGGTGCCCGTCTTCCCCCTCCCTTTCCCGGATCCCTCGGGGGCGAAGTCTTCGACCCATTCCTCCCCCTGCTGCCAGTCCCACCGAGGAGGATGAGGAAACTTCCTCCGCAGGGGCACTGGCTTGACCAGGGGGAGTCACGTATGGAGGCGGCCGATCTTCCTCTGCCCCTGCGAGGGAGGGGTAAAAGGGGGAGCTCTCTGGTAAGACCGGAGATGGTGAAGGAGATGCCCTAATTTGAGGACTGGTCAAAGTGGGAAGAGGAAGTTTCTCCTCTTCCTTTATGACCAAGGCGGGCGTGACTGAGGTTTTAGCCCTGGGAGTCGAACTGGAAGGGTATGTCAGGGAGGCTGTTAACCAAGGAGGGGGGTCTCTTGCCAAATCTTCCCAGACTAGTATGTATGGAACTTGGTCTGGGTGGCCCCATCTGCCTGGTCGATTAATGACTTCTTTAACCTTAGTAATTAAATCCAAGGATAGGGAACCTTGAATGGGCCATCTAACTCCAAAAGTGGGCCACTCTGCAGAACAAAAGGTGTTGAACTTACTTTTCTTGATGACCAGACCCGCATTTAAGGCCCTTTCTTTAACTTCTGGAAAATGAGAAAGGATCAGAGACTTTGGGGTTGTTTGTCCCTGTCCCATTGTGGAAGGAGACTCAAACACCAAGAGAGATAGAACAAAAAGGGTAAAGGCAACAATAATTCCACACACACACAACACTCTCCAGCACTCGCTCGGACCGGTCCTTCTCTCACACTGGTGCGCACCCCATTCAACCTCCTCACCGTCCAACTGGGATGTCAGGCCGAAAGGCGTCCACTTGACAGGTGGTCGATCGACTAGCTCAATTAGTTCTTCACCTGGCGCCAGGGTTTCTAAAATGGTTCCTGGAATGCTCGAGCCCAAATGAGAGGAAAGCCTCTCCCGGAAAGGACCCTGTGGTCCTCCCTGAGATTCCCAGGACGAATCTCCCTGGGGGTTGGCCAAATCCCCCAAATGAGGGTCTGGGACCCTCCCAAATCACCTGGCATGCGCCAGGGTTCCTGGAATGCTCGAGCCCAAATGAGAGGAAAGCCTCTCCCGGAAAGGACCCTGTGGTCCTCCCTGAGATTCCCAGGACGAATCTCCCTGGGGATTGTCGAATCCCCAATGAGGGTCTGGGACCCTCCCAAATGCCTAGGACTTGAGATTGCCCCTGCTTTCTCGCAGGCAGGTTCTGTCTCTCGAGAAAATGAAATCTCGCTGGGGCCTCCAAATGTTAGGACCTGGAGTCCTATTCCCCCGAGAGACAGAAGGCCAGGCGTGAATGCAATCAACAAAGCAGAGTTTATTGGACTGGCTAGCCAGGGTCAAGCTTCCACTCGGACACGCAGGACCGGTTAGGAAAGCAAGACCCCGAGCCTCTGAGGGGGAAACCTTATATAGACCACAGTGACTGGCATAATTGGTCATTTGGCAAGCAAGCAGGGCACATCTTGCACGTACTTCTTGGGCTTGCTCAACTTTTAGCAAGCAGGGGAGTACATTTAGCACATTCTGCGGTGTACTTGCTTAATGATTTTGCTCAATATTTTGCAACCAAGAGGGTACATTTTGCACGTACAACATAGGGTGACTTTCAGGTCATTGACACTTCCTTATTTTTCTCCTTCCTTCTCATTAGAAACCTTAACTTACTACTAAATGGATAAAAAAATATAATAATGCAATTCATAGATTCTCTGGTTAAAACAGCGGTTTTGATGGCTTTTCCAAATAAGACAAACTTGAAATACAACTGATATTTTAAATATTTGAAAAAACATAAAGGCAAAAAGTTAATTGTAGAAGGCTGTTTTTTTTTTAGTTTATCAAGTTCACTGATTTAAGCTATCTATATAGTGTTTCTCCACTTTGATTATATAGACAACCTAAGATACAGACAAGCCTTTTACAGCTCATCTTTGCATGCTATTCTCTGAGCTTTGTGGTTCTACCTTTTTCTTCAGCTCTCATAGTTGATTCTGACAATCAAGATCTCCATCAGGACTACTGTATTCTGGATGCGGGGACTCTGCCCTCAGCACACCAGAGACCCAGAGGACTCTCCCCATTGCCTGCCCAAGATTTCATTCATGAGGGAAGATCACAGAGCCCACAATACAACAAAAATGTATGCATTTTCTTGAATGCTAATATAATCACAGTGGCATTAGCTACCTGTAGAATATTTGAAAATCTTTGAAAAGAGGCACACAATACAGAAAAATATATAATATGTTCCGGTAGCAATAGATGTTGTGAGGGAAATAAAACAAGGCAGGGTAAAATTGTAGATAGGGCTGCTTTGACTGGCACAGTTAGGAAAGGACTCAGAAGTTGGCTTTTGGAGTCCTGAAGAGGAGGTTTGTAAACGTTTTTGGACAGAAAAATTATCTAGTGCTATCTACCACTCTTTACATAGTGCACCAGTTCCCCAAAGACAGCAATGGGGCTTGGGGTTTCTGCCCTCTTTTCTTAACATCCCCAAGGATGCTTATGAATTGCCCCAAATCACCCTGCTCAGTACCAGGCAGGGGAAATAACTTATCATCTCTCACGGTTCTTGTGACTACTTCAAATCTTGTGATGCATGACTTCACAGGTATCTCCCACCTTTGAAGTAATTTTCTAAACTAATAAGGTAAGTTTTATCCTGTGATTTCCCCCCTCCTTAAATGCGAAATAGATAAAAACTTTGCAATTAATATAAGGATTCTTCTGCAGTTTTTGATAAAAGAATTATCTTCCTAGAACTATACTCAAGAGCTTAATCAATAAATTAGGAAGAGCATATTTGAGTTTTGGTGTCTGAAAATTTTTCACCCCTTAAAGTCTAATTTTGGGCCACAAAAAGTTAAGAAAAGAAAACTCATGATTTGTTCTAATGTGGGTCTTTCAGATAGTTTTATTTAACCTCTAAACACATTTTAGTTAATTCATCATAACCAAATAGTTACTTCATTTGTTTAGAAAAAAGATTAATAAATGTTGCAATTTTCTCTATGTAATTCAGGTATAACAGTTTTACTTCAGCATTTCAATCGTGTATTCACTATAGTTCGCCTCAGCTTAAAAGCCTCAAATTCATTAAATCCTTCCTCTGTAGTAATCATTTGGTGGCTGGAATGTAAACTTCAACAGTATTTTTTTTCCTTTTCACATATCTACAAGAGGTTTTCAAATTAATGAATGAAGAATTCCTGAACTATGATTTGTGTGTCAGCTGAGTATCAGGTTAGGATTTTGAAATCCTGTTGCATGGAAGAGGAAAATTTTACTTTCAAAAAAACCTATATTTTATTTTTAAAGAAGTACTTGAAATATTGTTACAATCTTAAGAAGTACCTTAAAGAGCTACCTGAATGCAAATTTCAGGCAAAATTTCATCAAGAAAAGAGAGAAGACAGAAAAAAACCATAAAGTAAACTGGTCATTTTTGTTTACTCTTTGTCGTTCACTGTGAATTTCACCTATCCATTTATTTTCTGTCACCCCTGGCACTGCTTTGTATTCTGAAGCAGACCATACTGTTGTCTCTCTGTTGTGCAAACTGTATCCTCTACCTTCACTTGCTTGGCTGATATTCATGACACCTGATTCAAAGACTGATATTCATGGCACTCCCAGGTTAAGAACAGGTCTATGTCTCTTCAGAAAAATCAAAGCTAGGATGTGTGGCTGTTTGGGTACCCCACCTAGTCTCAGCCCAGTGACCTTGTTCCAGTGGCTCTGGAAGGGCCCATTTACTCCTCGCTCCAAAACCCACACATCACTGGGACCCTGCTGCTAAGTACAGCAGAGCAAGGTTTAGACAGGTTATTCCTTAGGAGGATACCTCAAAGTATTCAGACTTTCAAGTCTGGCCTACCCAGGAAAAATCTTAATTAGAGGAGACAAATTGAGGGCTTCAAAACAATCTGCTGCAAATCTGCATTTTGCCAGACAGCCTAAGAAAAAAGCAAAGCACCCTTTTGCCTCCAGGCTCAGGAACCAGTGGAACCTTCAAAGGCAGTGACCTACTTCTTCCAGCTAGGTCTCACCTCTTAAAGTTTCTAAAGTCATGTCCCCAGATGAGTACACATTC